TTCTCAGAAGAAAATACATTGCCTGATTCTGCAGCTCAGATGTAGTTCTTTACTATTCCTGTGTTGCTCAGTTTGTTTTTAAAATAAAAAAGGGAGGAGCCTTAACTATGCTCTGTCTTCCTGATATGGCAAGTGTATTAAATCAATATTCAAAATGAGACAAAACTGTAGGAATTTTTTATGTCCAGGCAACCTTTGACAAGGACCTTTTGGTAGAATGGAAGCCCTTCTTCCTGTTCTTATTCACATGTTCTTTCAGATGAATGAAAGAAAAATGATCATGTGGAATGGAATACATTGATTGGCTTTAAATTTTATGCAAATTTAGCAGGACTGTCCACTAACATGCCTTGTTCTTTATTTGTGAAGGTCACAGTATAGGGAAATCTGTTAGGGCAGCTAAAGAATTTCACTTAAAATGCCAAGGAGATGAATATTGCATAGTGATTATAAGCTTATTTTCTGGATTTCTGGAAGTGTTCCTTTTATATTATATTATATTATATTATATTGACAAAGAAAATGTTAAGTGATTTAATTCCTTATTGGAAATTGCATACATTATGAGAGAAAAACTGTCTCATAGGTCAGGTAGTAAAACAAAGTCATAAATTTTAATGTAAATTAATTATCACATTATTCCTATTACTCTCAAAAGTGCAAGCAGTTGAGAAAAGAAATGAAACTTTAAGGAATAGTAGGGCTAGTATGTGTGACCAAACAGATTTAAGTTGTCCTAATGGCTTATCTTTGGTTATAAAAGAAAACCTCCATTCTAACTAATTGGATTTAGCCCAGAATTATAATAATGTTTGATCAAAACTCTGAATATAAAACTGTCAAACAAATAAGTGAAACTAAATCACAAACTACATGGAATCATAACCTTGTATAGGTCTGGGGACTGAAGTGTTTCCTTAGAGGTAAAAACCATAATTTTTTGTTGGCCATCCTCATGATTCTGACAGAATAATCTCTCAGAATTTATCTCAATTCTGGTCTATTTGCTTCTAGTCAATTCTGCATGTAAATAATCAGAGCTGGAGATCTAATTTAGATGTGATTCTTAAGCCTGAAGACTCATTTAAAATAAAATTATTGTCCTCTATGGATTTCCTAGTCCTCTTTTCTCAATTCATGAAGAAGATGTATGAAATAGGTCAGGTCAGATTCTTTATCTGATCCTTATTATTGGACTGCCTCCCATTTCTGACAGAAGGGATTCGATGAGAAATGTTAGGAAAGGAATTGATGCTGAGATTTTACCCCCTTCTGAGATTGTCTCTTTAGAGTTAGTGACCATATATACTGGTGTGTACTAGATCTTGCCTGTGAATGCCCAATGTCCCAGGTAATTAATAATAGTGTTCCTTTTACTCACAAATATAACTTGGTTTAGAAGATAAATTATATATTCATCCCATTTCTAAGTTACTTCTTACAGCTAATTCAGTTTGAGACAGGTTTTATCTGAGCTTATCACTTTCTTGTAAGTTTTCCTACAGTGGTTAGAACCTCACTATTCACTGACATTCTCACTTTTAGCAATCACTTCCTCTACAGTTGAGATCCACAGGCTGGGCATGCTTATGTTGTTTGTCTGCCTTGTCTATACAACAGGGTCCCAAGAGTTGCCAGATGTCCACCTTGCTATACTGTACTCAACCAAGAAGCCAAAGCTAAACATTTTATGTATTATTTTGGAAATACCAACTTCCTGTATTACTAATGATAAATTTGTATAGCAAATCTAAATATATCATAAATTGTAGTTCTTCTACTGACAAGGCAGAGTCATCTCTTAAAGAACAATCCAGTTATTGATGTAGACGAAATAAGAAAAAAAATGAAGAAATAAAAAAATCAACTACCCGAGAGCACTTGAGGATGAGCAAAAACAGGAAGTTTCTGGACGCTTGGAAGGAGGGAACTTCATAGGGTGATTTCTCCATTTGTGTAGCTTTTAGCATGAAAGCATCTGCAGCAAAGGATACCTGAAACTCTAGTATAGTCTTTCTGGAGGATAGGAATTAGACACAGCTGCTGGAAAGTGAGGAGGGGGAAAAGAAGATAACGAGAGAGAGAGAGAGATGTGTAGAGAGGGGGGCCAAATTTTATGCTCATTCTGTCCCTCTCTCCGGCTGACTCATGACCCTGGTTGCTGGGGCAGATTGCAAGCAGCTCAATTAAGAAGAAGAGCTGAAATGAGATTTTAGCTGCTGGTGAAGAAATGTTTGCAGTTTTAGTCCATGCAAATTAATTTGCCTGCTAAAATGAACAAACAAAAACACAGTTTTTGAGACATTTGCCAGAATTCAAAGTTTCCACCCATAACACTCCCAATGTCTAGAATATGACCCATAATTCCAAAGAAACAAAATGTAAACCAGTCTCAAGAGAGAGAAAAAAACATTCAACAGAACCCAACTGTGAGATGACCCAGATGGAATCCGCAGAAAAAGATTTTAAAATAGCTGTTAAGCTATGCTCAGTGATGTAAAGGAAAACATATTCACACTGAATCAAAGAAATATAAACCATATAAAAAGAACCAAATGTAATTTCTAGAACTGAAAAATGTAGTATCTGAATTGAAATTCACTAGATGGCTTCATACCAGAATGGGAGTGACAAAAGAATGACCCTGTGAATATCCAGATAGATCATTTAAAATTATTCAATCTGAGGAACAGAGAACCAAAATGATTGAACAAAAATATCAAAGACTCAGGTACTTTTGGGCCAATATCAGATATACTAACATAAGTTTAAGTTTGGTTTGGGAAGGAGAGAAGAAGAATAGAATAGGGCAGGAAACAATAGTTAAGAAATAATGACCAACTGAAAGCAGAAGCTTATTCTTCTCAGTGGTGGGAATTTTAAATGTCCAGACTTGGACAGTTCTCACACCACAGATGAGATGGGCACAGAACATGGGCTTGTAGCTGCATTATTTCACAGAGCTGCTTCTTGCTTATCAGGTTGTCTGGTAGAGAACATACCACTAGGAAGCAAAGTTTTCAGGGAAAATCAATGCATTTTGGTCCTGTGCTCAAAGACTATACTCTATGAAAGTGCATAAGCAAAGTCTTAGAGAATCCTAACCTGACTTGGAGCAGTTTGGTAGAATTGACAAAGAGGTGCAAAGGGGTCTTCAAAAAGTGGGACTTTGCCTTCCATTCAGAGGGATGGGGAAGGATTGGGGTCTCGAAGAAATTGTACATTCATGAAATGAGGAGAAAGAGTTCCCAGGACTTTTTTCCTAAGAAATTCTCTCTCCCCATCTTCCTTCTTTAGTAACACCAACACTATCCCATCAATTTTCAAACATTATAACATTACATGAAGTCATCTTGAGATAAAGTGGGACTTATTTTATAGAGGTCATTATTATTAATTAAGATATGTGGAAGCAATTTATTTTCTTTCCATTTACTCTGCTAGTCCTTTTTTCTTTGTTATGAATGTAATCAAAATTATAAGTGTAAATATTTTCCTGTGGTGAATTTCCATCTTTCCTCCTACACCCTACTTTAAGTTCTTAAACTCCCCTATCATTGACGGAAACTTGAAATTTTAGAAACCTCTTACCCTAAGGGTGGGAAGAGATTATGATTTTCTTATATACTTCATTTGGAAGTATAATACTTCTTTACAATAAAACCATGGAGAACAAAGGAGAAGAAATTGACCTTACTATGTTGATTTGTTTAACCAAATCACCAATGCTTCTAGCGACTTGCTGCTCAAATTATGGTTTGCAGATTAGCAGAAGCAGCATCACCTAAGCCCCTGCTAAAAATGTAAACCCCCTGGCCCCACTCCAGACCTATTGCCTCAGAATATGCATTTAAACAGGTTGCCTGGGTGACTCCTATGGAAATCACATTTTTGGAAGTCCTGCCCTAGGACAGCTTTACCCTTTACCCCCCCTTTTAAAAAATATAATCTTTAGACCAATTTAGTTTCTATATCCTCATCTTTCAAGTGGTAATTGACCACCTTTTTTTGTATAAGTCATTTCCTTATGTGGTCCCTGGCATGTTGATGGGCAACAGGATGGACAGAGTCAAAACACTGTGTGAAGGCAATACAAGAAATGTAAGGGGTGAGGTAATGTCCTCTAATCTCTTGAGTGAGCTGATGTCTAAAAAGGTAGAGCTTTCCTCAATGTCTAATAGATTTACTATGTCCAAGCATTGACTAGTCAGTTTCTATGAACTGATACAAAAGATAAATTCCAGGGAGAGGTAGGGTAGGTGGTGATTATGTCGGGAAGTTGGCAGGAAGGAACTTCATCAAGCATTTCTATTCCTAGAAAGGCTTGTAAATTAAAGAATATTTAGTGCTTCAAAAAACTGGATGAATGGAATCAAAATAAAGAGTATGCAATCTGATAGTAAGCTGTCTGATGTTCCCTAGATCTTAGCTATTGTTGGTGCTTTCCACTAATGAAGTCTTGTCATGTTCACTCACATAAGATTCTTTTCAAAGGAGAAATCAAATAAACTCCAACATATACATGCACGCATGTGTGTGGGTGTGTGCCCCCCCCCTTCTCCAGTCCTGATTAAAATGGATCTAACTACAGACTCTGGATACAAAAGTACTACTAATGCATAACTAGGTCAATAAACATAACCCAGACTTCCAAAATGTGAGGCTGAACTCGTATTTGAGAGCTTCAGACAATCAACGCCCTGCTTTGATTCTTGCACTCCCTTTCATTAATTCTGGGCCAAAACATGGCCCACGCTAATTAGTCCGTCTTTAATGGAGGCAGTTACTGAATGTCAACACCAGGGTAGGTCACTAAATGCCACTTCTGCTGTTAAAAACCAAAGAAACAGGAGACAGAGCGCACCAAAGGCAACAAGAAACATGGACAGTAAGAACATGAGGGAGGAGGAAGTGCCGCTAATGAATGATAATGAAGAGGCCAAAGTCTATTACAAGCTCTGAAGTTAATAATAATCTTGTTTTCCATTTAATGAGCGTTGGGAGAGTCTTCAGAGGAAAGGTAAGGCCGTGAAGTTAGAAGAAAAATGATATAAGCTAGAGGGAGACTAAGCAAGGGCTTCCTTGTAATTGCGTAAGTTAAAAGAGAATATGATACAAGGCAGATATTATGCTCAAGATTTTTTTAGCCCACTATCTTAGTCTTTTTAAACCATAGAATGTTGGGAAAATTGTTTCAGTTGTGATTGAGTGAATGTGTGCTGTGTGGTCTTTGAGTACTTTGAGTGGTATTTTGGGGTATAATTTGTTTTCATGAATTTGATTAATTTGTCATTTACACTGTTCTTGTTCATGCCTGTTTCCGTATTTACATTTTACAAGCAAAGAAGTGAGGTACAAATATTATGGAGGAAATGTTTGTAAAGTAAATTATTCCTTATAGAAAATATCCTGCACATATGTGTGGTTCCTGATTACTTACTGAAGTTTTATGGTTATGTGTTTTCTATTACTCCCCATAGAATACAGAATCTCTCAGGTGGGAAGAATGCCCAGCATCCCCTACAGTGTACATCCAACAGTGTTCTGTACACAGTATTCTCTCACTAAATGTGTTTGTTTCTGTACTTTGCAATGACCATTTTAATTACAAAAATATTATTTTAATATTTGTCACAATAAGAATTCTCTTACTGAATACCAAATTTGAACTCCAAAATTAGCTCTAAAGATTATAAAAGGATTTCTTGTAAACTATATTTATAGAACTGGTATTGGACTATGTTGATTTAGAGTTTTTCTATATAGTTTAGTTGGTTTGGGATAGGAGAGGACAAACGAAATATCACAAAAAGTAAATCTTTTCACTAATATTTTCCCACAGATTTTCATGACTCATGTCTGATGTAGTGAGACAAAGCTTCTTTGAATGTCTTAGAATTTAAATGGCTGGCTGTGAGGATTTTAACAATATCTGAGATTCTTTTTTTTTTTCTCTTTTAAACAGGTATATAAGCACTAAACTTCGAAATGTGTTTTGAGCCTTTTAATAAATACCATGATAATTCTGCATGTATTTAGAAGAGCCATCTTTTAAAAAGAGTTACCTAGAACATAGTAGTAGCTCAGTAAAAGTTAGTCAGATGGACAGATCTATAGATATCTCCTTCAATTAGCCTAGTAACCTGGATCAAATGTTGTAGTCTCCGCTCTATAAACAAAACGTTCAAATGCCCAGGCAAGGCTTTAAGTGCTCAGATCCTACAAGTTGTCCCTTGCTTTTGAAATGGTCTCACACTAACATGCAAACAAGTCATGATAATCAAGAATTAGTGAAGCAGCATGATGTAGGCTGTGGTAGATTAATTGCATTGTATGGTCCTAATTAATGTTATTGCTGTATTCATCCTTTTTGTTTTGTAACTATCTAATTCTTCCATTCTGAGTTTTCTTCAGCTGACAGAATGTGGTAGAAGTGACGCAATAAGTCTATGTCTATGTCTCAAGAATCTTACATCTTTCTTTTTTTTTTTTTAAAGATTTTATTTATTTATTTGACAGACAGAGATCACAAGTAGGCAGAGAGGCAGGAAGAGAGAGAGGGGGAAGCAGGCTCCCCGCTGAGCAGAGAGCCAGATGCGGGGCTCTATCCCAGGACCCTGGGATCATGACCTGAGCTGAAGGCAGAGGCTTAACCCACTGAGCCACCCAGGTGCCCCTTACATCTTTCTTCTTAGATGATTCTTTTCTTGCTCACTCTAGTCCTTTGTTCACACAATGTGACTATGCCTGGATGCATGGAGAAAACCAAGGTGGCCCAAAGAGAGTCAACTTTCAGAAGCAGAAGCAGTCCTGTCCATACAAGCTCAAGTTTAGGAAACAACCTAAAACCAGAAACTCCCAGATCAGTCTAGTCACAATTTGCAAGTGACAAAATTGTCTGCTAGAAGAATGGTCATTTAAGCTTCAAATGTGGCAGGTTGTTATACAGCAGTAGCTAAGTAGTACATGAGTTTAAGAGCTGTGGGCCCCAGATATGTTTGTTGATCTAAAAATTTATTTCCTTATATAGAAATACACTATCCTCATCAATTATTGTGAGACTTAAATTTGTGCTTGGTGCATTGTCCTGGATGCACTTAATAAATAGCAATTGCTATACCTGCTGCTATTCCCACTACTATTATTGCTACTATCATGTTACTGTTATGTTTCATGTTACTATTATGTTACTGTTATGTTACACTACTATAATGTTACATATTACTACTATCATGTTCTATTACTGAACCAAGAGATCTAGTAAAATACAGGTATTTTAATATCCTATAGAAACATGAAGAATGTGGGAACATAACTGTCCTTTTATATGTTGCAGAAGACTAAACAGAGGTGGTTAGATATGAGCTGAGTCTTAAAAGGTCTTTAAGGTGTGAAGAGGTGTTAAAAAATACTAGCAAAATGATAGTCTATATCAATAAGGGAGACAAAAATAACTGAATTTGTATAATGTTTCAGTTGACAAAGGATTTGCAGAAACAATAGTTTATTTCATCTTCCTTTCACAGCAGAAAAATTTATCTTTATTATAGGATTTCAAAATGAACATTCTAACCTTACGTGAGTTATTTGAGGCCATTCAATTTGAACATGATGGAGCTAGACTCAAACCCAGGCCTTTTAACTCCAACAAAATTCTCTTTCCTGTGTATCATGATGCTTGTTCTTATACCGTGATATTTCCATAAATAAGCTATAGATATTGAAAGCTTATAAAGAAAGTATTTAAATAAGATTCTCAGCATGCTTATGAAAATAGATCTTTTAATTCAGGATATACTTAATCCCTCTTTAGATTTTTCAGACTATTTGGAAGTTAAGCAGAGAAGATGTCACTGTAATTAGATTATTGGTGAGAATTTATGTTTTCCACATTCATTTTGTGTAGAGTGTGAGTGTGGGAGAGAGGGAGGGAGACAGAGGAGAAGAGGGGGGAAGAGAGAGAGAATATATCTCATAATAACAGCAGTCTTTTGTCATTTCCAACTCCAAGAAACAAATTGCTTAAAATAATGTGAGTTTAGTACGATTAGAGTGTTATTTTCTTTAATTGAGAATATGGAAGGATTTGAATTACTTTGTTTGAATTGCTTATAAAGGCCCATAGAAAGACTTAATTTCATTTTTTGACATCTAGGAATACCTTTCTGGTATGTAGCAAAAGCCTATCTCTTAATGGTTTGGGACATATCCTATGACACAAAGCTGAATAAAAGGGTATATGTAGCCCATATGTAGCCCATTTAAGCCACATGGAATCACATCACAAAGTCAAGTTTCTGATGTCAGCAATTTCATTGTAAATCACATTTAATGTGACTTTCTAGTTAAAAAAAAATGCCATTTTACAAGTCATTTCTTGGTTGTCCGCCTTCAGGTCAAGGCGGCTCTGATGGAGTGATAAATTTTGATGGAACTTTGGCTTATTAACAGCCTCCAAATTATGTTGATAATTGTCCCAGGTTTATGGAGATAACTATGTCATTATGTTTTACTGAGTCTCCAGTATAACCCACTAAGATCGAGACCAGAGAGCTGTCGCTAACCCTGCCACATGATATGTAGCTGGGTTGACAAAGCACCGTGTTCTCTGTGGTTTGTAAAAAAAAAAGCACCAAATCTTGTAGGGCGAATTCCATAGCATTGCGTTTCTGCATCCCAGATATTGCTTCTGAGTTCAGTCCCATATATCCAATGGTCTACTCCTCAGAAGGCTCATATTCTCTGCAATTTGGGCATGAGCTAACTGAGTTCCTTCCTTTTGATAACAAAAAGATCACTCAAAAGAAAAATGAGCCCAGAATTTGATTAGCCATTTCACTATGTAGGGCATTCAAATGGCCATTAATCATATGGGAAATGTGTTCATCCTCACTTGTTAATCAGGGAAATACAAATTTAAACCATAGTGAGATGCTACTATATATCAACCAAGCTGCCTGAGACTAAAAAGAATGATGATATTAAGTGTTGGTAAGGATATAGAGCTATGAGAACTCTCATATATTTGTGGTAGGAGGGTAAATTGTTGCAACCACTTTGAAAAAGTGTTTACAGTTTACTGCTTTAGCTGAAGGTGTACATATCTATAACTCAACAATTTTGTTTCCAATAGAAATGTGTGCGTATGTGCAAAAAGATGCTTGCAGAAGAATGTTCATAGCAGTACTCTTCTAATAGTTCCAAACTAAAAGTTATTTAAATATCCTTCAACGGTATATAATGTGTTCTATTCATACAATGGAACACCATGCAGTGATGTAAAAGAACAAAGTGTTATTATATACAGTAGTATAGTATGAATATACACACATAATGTGTGAAAGAAGCCAAACACAAAAGAAATTCTTAATCAATAATTTATATCAATCACAAATGGGAAAAAACAAACTATTGGAAGAGAAATTAGTACTCTGTTATATTTTAAAAAAGTAGAGGTAGTGCTTAGGAGGAAACACTGGGGTACTATCAATATTCTATTTTTTTGAACTTTGGTGGTGGCTGCACAAGTGTTTGCTTTCTAAATTCATGTTTAGTTTCAACACAACTAAAATGGAAGAATATAATTCAGTTAGTATTACACTTTACAATTCACTTTCTGTCACACTGTTTCACATTTAAGCACAAATGAATCTCCAAGTGGTCACATAGTTTGGCCTAATTAACTAATTAAAATTGTTTCATCACTTTTACAATCACTGTTATCATTTATTTCAAATCTACTGCTTAAACATAGGGATAGTCAGTATCACATGTGGAGATTCAAACTGCACCCAAAACAAGTTGGTACGATTGGAAACCGTTATCATATTAGTTTGCTAGGGCAGGCACAACAAAATACCTCACAGTCGAGAGGAGCCTAAGGAGACTTAACAATTACATGTAGTGTGGTATCTTGGATGGCATCCTGAAACACAAAGGACATTAGGTGAAACAGAGGAAATTTATATTAAATATGGACTTTACTTAATAATAGTGTATCAATACTGACTTATGAATTGT